TTACAAGTCTCGGAATTTGTCAATAACCCTATCTCATGCGTTACAAAAGTCTTGAGTTACAAGTCTCGGAATTTGTCAATAACTCTATCTCATGCGTTACAAAAGTCTTGAGTTACAAGTCTCGGAATTTGTCAATAACCCTATCTCATGCGTTACAAAAGTCTTGAGTTACAAGTCTCGGAATTTGTCAATAACTCTATCTCATGCGTTACAAAAGTCTTGAGTTACAAGTCTCGGAATTTGTCAATCCAAAACTCCTTGAACAACGACAATACCAATTCGTTTTGTATTGGAACCAGTGAAGTGCCGAAACAACTTCTTTAGAGATAATTACCAGTAAATGTGGCATTCCTTTGCTACGTATCTAATCTAAACAAGAAGCTAAAGACGGTGATAAAAACAAACATCCACGAGGTAAGTTTTGGGTTACACATGATTCATGGTTGTACAGAATGTAAGGCTTAATAGAATGTTGTTTCCTTTGACTATCGTATTGATATTCTTGTAATTAAACTTTCAAAGCTAGAATATGAAAGCTTAAACCCAAGATACAAGAACGCTTAAAAAGAAAATGTCTCCTGGTAGGTCAGCGGTAAGTTTACAAACTTACAACTTGGGGTTCGATTCCACGCGGTGAACAGTGCGCAGTTACACCAATGTATGGTTTATTTGGAATTAAGCACAAAGCTACATATTGGGCTATCCGTGCTCTGCCAACCACGGGTATCTAAACCCGGTTTCTAGCGTTATAAGTCCACAGAATCACCACTGTACCACTGGGGGCGCCACTGTATGACTTGGCGCTAAGAAATAAACAAATGAAATTAACAAAAAGTAATGGCGCATTATTTAGTAATTGGTCACAATTTTCATTAAAGTAATTAATCAAAATATTCAAGATTCTTTTTGTAAATAATTCCGTTTTGATCATTACTTACAAACAATAACATTGAACTTTGTTCCTCCGAATAAATCAGTAAATTATTACGCAGATTAAACCCCTATCAGAGATCTTGGTTAAGAAACTTTATAAATAAAACCAAATATTATCAGAAAATAAAAAGAAGTGGACACTCGGTCTTCCAAAACCTGATAATAAAACACAAAAAATGTGTCCATTCGTCTGAATTACTTTAACAAATGGTCTTCTAGCTGTAAGTGTTTTATTTATTAAATACGCCATTAGGGTTAACAGAAGTGATGAATTTTCTCAGCTACTTTGTGGGAAAGTACTTCGCCTACACAGGAGGTTACAGAATCGTCATTAAGATATATGACATGCACATTCCCATAATTCATAGCGTTAAGTTCCACTTAACTGTGATATAAAGTTTTATTTATATACCGTACGTATAAACGTCAACACATAACACTAACACAACGTGTATACGTTGGGGACGAATAAGAATATATTTTTTCGTCTGAGGTGTTATTAAAAGGTTATTGTTAATTGTTATTATATCGGTGGCTTGTGTGACACTACTGATAGTAACGTTTAAAAAAAAATCTTCCTCTGCTAACCCTAAACGGGTTTCCAGTACAAAAAGGGCATCTGGATAGCACCTCTTGTGCGCTGACTGCCGAAGAGGCTTTTCGTCCAATACCATTACTCATCAAATCAGCTGGTCATATAACAAGCAGTCTTGATCGAAACGCTATTGATAATATATCATTTATAAAGGGACATAAACACGGTATGCCGTCTTATGTTCCTCTTACAGGAAATTCTTTATTTACTTTACAATGTCTATCAGATACGGTTTCACATACTGATAGTTTCAAATACTGTTATCAACATTAGTTCCCAGCAAGACTATTCGTGCAGTTTGAGGGTGTACTGTATAATCTTTCTCTCGAGAACTTTTACAAAAATTATGACGTACAAGTTATATTTTGTATTTCAAGGTGTTAAATCTAAATCTTTAGTTAACCAGAGAAAAAATATATAAACAAAGTTTTAATGGGCATTTTTGGAACATCTTGAAGTTCGAAATTTTATTTTGACACCCGAAATAAATTACTGTAAACTATTTTCACACCCGAAAACTCCGTCCGTCTCAGCGCGACTTCTTAAATAATGCCTTGGTCTTTTTCTTCTGAACGGAACGCATCTGATATACTGAAGTTGCTGAAAAAAAAAAAGATAATTTTTTGTGTATTAATTAAAAAAAAAACACAGAACAGATTTAAAGAACAACAAAATAATACAAATTATAAGTGTAAACTTTTGGAACAATATCGAACCACATATCACAAACAAAGTTGGCAAGTAAACAGGTAGAATGTTATTTTTCTCGGCTGTCAACAATAAGATTCATTTCTCAACACTCAACAATGCTTAATGCATCTAATTAATTCAAGTCGACAATACACTAATCAACATTGTTCGGTTATCTTGCAACATTTTAATACTTTACTCAGCATTACAAACAAGTAGGCCTAAGATCTGTGATAAAAGTCACGTAAACTTGAGCTGTTCTTAATTCTTCTTAATTGGTCCATTGCGGATTTGAAATCAATGATGTGTAGAAACAGCATATCAGATTCATCCTTTGTCTCCAACAAATTACTGCTTGGTAACTGATAGCAAATAAATTATTAATGCTAAGTTAAAGATCTACTAGAGAAAGACCTCGGAATGGTCATCAGTAAAGTCACGTGCTTTAAGCCTCGCGTGTAACAACGGCAAGGAATAAGGTTTTTACATCAAGTTTTTTATTACTTTATTATTACATCAGCTCCGCGTGTAATAACCATCCGTTCAAGCTCGACTGAATCCCGATTTTTATAATAACGTGTAAAAACCTAATCATCTATTTTACTTTCCCAATGTTGTAAGAAGTCCTTTCGCTTTCCACAGGCTGGTTGGGTGTATCATTAAAGAAAAGAACAAACGAAGCCAAGTATTTAGAGCAGAACAAGCAATTAACCAAAAACACGGACAGTGGTACACGGCGCTGACCAACACACGCAATTCAATGGGGACGAAGGAATTCAGACGAAATTAATGACGTTATCACAACGTTTTGTGAACGATCAACTACCCGGGATTCTGGAAACTGACGAGTTCACGGATCCCCCCCCCCGGTTCAGCAAGTTGACGAGTTCACAGACTCCCCACGAGGTTTAGCAAGTTGACGAGTTCATAGTCTCCCCACGAGGTTTAGCAAGTTGACGAGTTCACAGACTCCCCACGAGATTTAGCAAGTTGACGAGTTCACAGACTCCCCATGGGATTTAGCAAGTTGACGAGTTCACAGATCCCCCGGGGGGGGGGCTCACCAAGTTGACGGCCAACAAACTCTCCCAGGAAACAACTGGGATGATGCTTGAACATCGTATACATAAATGTCATGATCGGGGATCGTTAAGGAAGAAAAAAATTTAACACACACGTCTTCATAAAAACTATTATTTCGCGACATTTTGGGAATTAATATTATTCACTTGGTTGTATGTGTAAACTTGTTTACCATGTTGCATTGAGAATTGATCTGTGGAACTTGACACTAGGTTTACATGTCGAAACGAATTAAAACAAATAAATATGCGGCCGATCTCCATACAGGATGATATCTTAATTCCTACCTAGTAGGCTAAAATATCAATAAAAATCTCGTAGCGCCATCTAGTGGTAGTTTAAATAGTTTCACAAAGAAAATCATTGTAAACCAAGTGACGAGGAAACGATCTTAAATAAGGAGAAATCAAGAAGTCTCTAACGTCTTCTGACACAGAATAAAATATCTTTATTTAAATATTTAAAAAATAATAAAAGCCCAACTCAAAATACATTTGTATTTCAAAAAACCAGAAACAGTGTATTCTATTGTTACAAATATATAACATATTGTTGTTGATAGTGCTAACAAAGTGTGAAGACCGTATATTGTTGTTGATAGTGCTTACAAAGTGTGAAGACCGTATATTGTTGTTGATAGTGCTAACAAAGTGTGAAGACCGTATATTGTTATTGATAGTGCTTACAAAGTGTGAAGACCGTATATTGTTGTTGATAGTGCTTACAAAGTGTGAAGACCGTATATTGTTGTTGATAGTGCTTACAAAGTGTGAAGACCGTATATTGTTGTTGATAGTGCTTACAAAGTGTGAAGACCGTATATTGTTGTTG